CGGTGGCTCAGGGCTGCATGCAGCAGCAGCCTGGGTCCCTGCAGACAGCACCAGCAAGGGTGGCAGTGCTGGAGCTACAGAGTGCCCCCAGACCTGCCTCAGCATGGGCTGATCTTGTGATCTCTGCCTGTTTCCACCCCCAGAGCTGCTCTGCTGGTTTGTGCAAGGTAGAGCAGAGCAGTGCCCCTGCCAGGGACCCACTGCCCTGCCCACCCTGCTGCCCTGCCCTGCCCCAGCCCCTCGCTGCCTCTCCCCTTGGAGCAGTGCTCCTGGCAGCAGCAGTGGCAGGAAGGGATCTGTGACCCAGCCTGGGGATGCAGAACACTGTGCTCTTCTCTGCTAGAGCCTCACATGAGCAAGTTTTAAATGTCCCAGCTGATGAGAAACTACATCAGACCAGCAGCAGAGAGACACCAGAAGTGTCCAGACAACCCAGCCCCAAATAGGAATGAGCTCACCTCCTCTATCTGTCTACAAAGAGCTTTCCAAATCGTTCTGCTTCCTCCTTTGTGCTTATTCCATCTGTGGTCACCCTCATCTGATCACTTTTTGCTCATGGCTACACAACAGGAGAAACCTACCTTCCAAGCAGGAGCAAGTTCAGAAGCATGTGAGTGAGAAGGAACAGCCCAACCTTCTGAAGGAAGACCAGCTTCTGCTCCTTCCCCTCAGCAGGCCAGTGCTGTGTCAGGCACACATTCCCCCTCACCCCACCCCAAGGTCTTTCACAGCTCCCACAGTGGGGTGGCACTGGCCAAGGACAAGTCTCTCCACAGCTGGATGGTCTTTTCCAGCTGTTGCTTGTGCAGCTCTTCCCCAAGGAGGAGCCCATCCGTTTGACTCTTGTTCTGGTTGGGATTCTTCAAAGGCATTGACTGTGTTTGGCCCTTCCCCAGCCACTTCTTGATGGAGTCAAGAGGCAGGAGACACACGGAAGGAGAGACACAGTTTGATGAGCTCTGTCCTTCCCCTGACATCCTCCTTACCTGCCACACACACGCAGGGGGAAAGTTTTCTCTGAAGCAGAGATCTGAGCTGGGCCCTCGAAGAAAACATCAAACTTCTGCAGCACTGGAACAGAACCCACAGAGTTACTCCTGAAAGGCAACAGGCTACCCAGACATGGGATGGCAAAGGGCAGAGGGTGCACATATAAGGCTGGATTCCCATGGAGGAACATCTTTGTGAGGTAAAAGCAAGGACTAATTAAAACCAGGGGAGCCAAAGAAGGAACCCCCCTTTCTTCCCCCAACATATGAACAGCCTCACAGAGGTCTTTAGTGTATTCTCACCCCATGCCAGCCTAGCTGGTAGCAGGGACCTTCCCCAGGGATCTGCAGCACAATCTCCCTTGTGTCCCTGTCAGATATTGTCCCCCCTCTGTGTCCTATAGATCTGTGTTTAATCCTAGCTCCCAGACAGCAAATCTTAGCTTACAATGTTTGGTTATACATTATTATACAGACAGAACCAAGCAGCTTTTTCCACCTCATTCTTTGCTCTCCCCACTCCAGCTTACCAGGTTCCTCCACTTTGAATGAGCTGGATGCTTTTGGGTTCAGCACGTTGATGGTGTACCTCCCCAGGGAGGGTTCAGCATCTAACTGGAAGGAGAGTTCTGCAATGCCTTGTTTGGCCCTCACATCCAGCCACTGGCCAATGCGGGTTTGGTTCGGGTCCTGCAGCCCCAGGGAGAGAAGAGGCAGCTGTCAGCAGCACCTCCTGCTCCCTACTCAGAGCCTGCTGCATTCAGGGGGGTGTCAGAGGTCTCAGAGGCTTTCACGGGCTCCTGCTTTTTCCCCACATGGTGCTGAAGTGACCTGAGTGCAGGAGCACCAGCAGAGGTGAACTCAACCCACCCAGGGTGACTCTGGTACTGCCAGCAAAACAAGAGGTAGGAAAGGTCCTGACAGACTCCCCAGCCTTAAGTTAGGATCAAGTGTAGGGATTAGCTAAAGCCTGGCTGGTGCTCCTGAAGGTAGAAATCATAGAATCATAGAATGTCTGAGCTGGAAGGGACCTCCAGAGGTCATCTGGTCCAACCCCCCTGCTGACACGAGGAGAATGGCCTTGAAATAGTAAGGAAAACAGGCAATAGAACAAACTGGGCTATTCTTTGGATTTGTTTTTTATCCCTAAATTTCTAAGGTGTGCTTTAATAGATACTCTACAATTATGGAAGCTGAAATTTGAAACTAGATCAAGCTGCTCTAGAAAAGAAACAGATGGAAGCTGAACCATTTGGATCATTAATGCTTGTTAATAAGAAGCACGTGGACAGATGAGGCACGTGCATGTGTTTTCACAGACCCTAAGCAAAGTAAAGACTCAGTAAGACAGGTATTATTCATGCTGAAGGATCTCCTGACACCTGAGGAGTCTGCAGCACCCACCTGGAGCTCCACCACAGGGTACTGCAAAGCAAACAGACAGCAACGTTAGAAGCTGGCTCGACCCAGCAGCCTGCACCTAAACTCCTCTAACCAGCTGTGACACCCCCAGTGCCAACAGCACAGCACAAGGAGCTGCATCCTGCTGACACGAGGAGAATGGCCTTGAAATAGTAAGGAGAACAGGCAATAGAACAAACTGGGCTAGTCTTTGGATTTGTTTTTTATCCTTAAATTTCTAAGGTGTGCTTTGATAGATATTCTACAATTATGGAAGCTGAAATTTGCTATTAAAAAAAAAAAAAGGAGAAAAGTAGAGAGACTTATAAATACCATCCTCCCAAGGTCACAAATACCACCCTCCCAGGGTCACAAATCCTAAAAGGCATCGGGTTTGTAACATAAATCCCAAGAATTATGAAAATTGCATCACCAGTAGGAAGAACACCCCCCACATTTTCTTGTAAAATCCCTGGCCAGGGAGGTAAGGCTTGGGGAGATGAGTTGCTGCTGACTGCAGCTGACAGTGGCAGGGAGGGACAAAGAAGGACATAATTCAGAATTGAGGCCTGTTAATTCTCTGAGTGTTCATCTGTCACTGTAGCTGCCAGCCAGGAGCAGCAGTGGTGAATGACCTGTGATTTGGGAGCAGGAGGCATAAAGAGGCAGGAGCAGGGGCTTGGGAGAGTAACTGGTCTGTAAGCAGGAGGCCACACGTGATTCACACCAGTCACCATTCTAAGCCTTCATGCAAGTCACTATAGAATCATAGAATCCTCTAGGTTG